CAACTTGATTTGGTCCCAGTGAAACTAATTTTAGATTTTTGGCCTCTAGAAGATAATAAATTTCTATTGTTTTTAAGACAGACACTTTTGATAATCTGTTACAGCAGCCACAGGAAACTAATACACCCATGATGTGCCATTTGGCATTTCTACAAGGAAATAAGGACTGTCAGGTCTCATTTCTCATTTTGCTAAGTGTAGAAATAATGGTGGGGAAATTTAGAGGTGGATATTGTTTATTAAGTATATGGTGTCTGCTTTGCAGGTAAGCCATCAAGCAGGACAACTCCAGGTTATATGGTGCACAGAGAGATGGGGAGGAAACAGAAATGAGTTGTAACTGGTAGATATTTGGAAGTACAAGCATTTCAGTCAAGTTGATCAGATTACAAGGTCCTAAACATGGGGATTCAGAGAAAAAGCCAAGATCTTTCAGCTGTGAGAAATTCTACTACAGACATTTAGACATAGTGGACCAAAAAAAAAAGAAGGAAAATGCAACGGAGGGTATACTGGGAAAGCCACATCTTCTTAAGTTAGAAAAATCTGAGGTGACAACTTGGGTCTATAATAAACATGTGTCATTGAGAAAATCATTGGGTTCAGATAAACCACAGTATTCTCAGTTTTAAATGGGATTATATCTATCATGTTATATTGTTCCATGAAGATTAAGTGAAACATTAGAAACCATAGGTGAAGTATAGTATTCGTTTCATAGTAGATAAATGCTTATATGAGATTTTTAAAAAGGGAATCACAAATACAGGGGTGAAATGGCAATAAAGGTGGTTTAGTGTTGTGTTACAGAATTGTGAGATGACAGATATTAAGATCCTTCAGTCTATAATCAGATGGATATCAAGTTGTCCCAGATATAGGATGAGAAGTAATGTACACAAGAAACCTGCAAGAGATTGTCACTGACCTAATCAGTGGTGATCAAGAAGAATAGTGAATTGACTGATAGTTACTGTTTAAAATTTGCCAAGAATTATTTGAATAATTTCATATATACATTTCCTAATCATTTAATCTTTACAACTATATTATACTCATTTTATATATGATAAAATAGAGGCAATGAAAAATTAATTAACCTGGTTACATACATTAATTAGCAAGGTTATATAGGCAGTAGTTACTAGATTTGGATTATTTTTTTAAATTTTTTAAATGTTGATTTATTTATTTTGAGAGAGAGGGAGAGAGAGAATCCCAAGCAGGCTCTGTGCTGTCATCCTAGAGCCTGATGTGGGGCTCAAACTCATGAGCCATGAGATCAAGACCTGAGACAAGATTAGGAGTTGGACGCTTAACTGACTGAGCTACCCAGATGCCTCTAGATTTGGATTCTGACTCAGATTGGTTAATTCAACACATTTCTAAAAGTAGAAGAAAATAATGATGGCATCCTTCTTTGTCAAAATCATATACTGTGCTCCTAGCTTATTTATTGAAAACACATTCGTGAGTGTTTATCATGAGCCAGGGAAATGGTCTTTAACAATCATGACCAGGACCTTTTATTTACAACAAATAGCACTAGTTTCTATAATTCCCTATAGTGAATGTATATACTTTCTTTTCAGACATATGTGCACATAGTTATTTATACCCTCAAAGGATACCCAAACTGTGGACTGCTAGATGTGACTGATCACTATTTCTTATCATTTGACATGTGGCTCTGCATTCCATAATGGTCATCCAGTCATTTGAAATACTCATAGACTGTGGTTCCTAGACTGCCTTACTCACCTCTATCTGGAAATTAGTTCATATAGGTTAGACGAAAATATATTCCAAAATATTTGGCTTTAAATATGAATGTATTCTGGGGGCACTTGGGTGGCTCAGTCAGTTGAGTGTCCGACTTCGGCTCAGGTCACGATCTCACGGTTTGTAGGTTGGAGCCCTGAGTCGGGCTCTGTGCTGACAGCTCAGAGTCTGGAACCTGCTTCGGACCCTGTGTCTCCCTCCCTCTCTTGCTGCCCCTCCCCCATTTGCGTTCTGTTTCTCTCTGTCTCTCAAAAATAAATAAACGTTAAAAAATTTTAACAACAAAAATAAATAAATATGAGTGTACCATAAGACCCTTTTGACCTATAAAATCTTTCATTAGAAACTATCACCCTGGAATGGAATCAATGTTCTTCAAGCTAACTTCTGCCACAGCAAAATATTCAGTGCCCACAACAACTCTGGCATGATGGTATTCTACTTGCTCACCAGGGACATTTATATCAGCAACAACTTGGTGAATGGCATTTTAGTAATCCAGGAAAGTTAAATTAGGGTTTAAAGTTTCTTCTAAGCCAATGTATTGTTCCGCTATTACTATATTAATTCAATATAAGGTCACAAGTATAGACATTACTGTGATCATATTTATAAAATAAATTGCAACTTCTTGTATATAGAAAAAACCAAGAGTAATTTAAATGTAGACATTCACTAACATGTCAGAGTTTATACATTAAAATCAAAATGAGTACTTATTGCCAGATCAAGAATTAAAGGGCTTGCTTCTCAGTTCCTTGAAACTGTTGCATTTTCCCTAAGAAAAACATCCAACAAAATAAACACAGGGACAAGCTAGAAATAAAAGTTACTGTAGCCCCATGAATTAAAATCATTTAGATAATGTGGAAGGCTATAAAAATTAATAATTTTCTATGAAAAGAAGTGGGAATTGAAACTGATCCGTTAACAATTTAAAAATGAATTAGCATATTTATATAGAAGTATTTTGGAAATGTATATTATCTGGGATTAAATATTCTATGGTTTTCTGCATTCTATTTGATGAGTAAATCATCTACATGTAGATTTCCAGGGCTTTCCAAAAGACTTCACACTCCTTAAACCTTTTCAAATACCATATGAATCCCTTAAAGGAAAAAAAAAAGAGAGAGACAAAAAGACGTGATTTAGCTTCTATCACCACTAACACTTTTATTTCCCCTAGCCTCACCAGCTTTCACCAGCTTCTTATTTATGTATTTATTTATTTGTTGCCAGCTTTTTAGACTCAGATATTTCCTGGCTTGTCTATAACCATCACAGGCTACTATTACCTTGAACATATTGTATCTTTTCTTATAAGAGTTCAAATATTTTCATAAGAATTTAAATTCCTAACTCTCCATCACATATAACCATAACTGATACAAAATGTGGCATGTAGAAAACATATTTATCTACATCTGTGAAGTTATAAAAACACACTTATTTTCACTTAACTACCTGGAAATAAAAAACACGCATTATTCTACCTGGATGAGGAAACCAAGCAGTGAAACAGAATCTTTTGTTCATATTCATGCAGGAAAAAAATGTGGAAAAAAGAAACTACCTCTAAAACCCTTGGAAGTCTCAAACAGTTGAAGCTCCATTTTCTCTTTCTTGAGAAATATTCACTTTCCAAAATATATTTGGTCTATTTGGGGAATATATTCAGGTACTAATCTCTAACCCAGTCTTTGAGAAATTTATTTTAAACTTCTGCCAAATTCACTGTTTTAATTATGCAAGACTCACTAGTTTAATAAGCCCACTCTACAGCCCACTGCTCAAAGTCTTTAACAGCAGGATTCTAATAGAACCAGGTCCAACATGCAAATGGTGCCATCTGTATCACCACATCCACTCCAGCAGCACAGCTATTAAATTAATAGTACAGTCTGCAAGATAAAACAGCAGAGATTCCCATCATGTGGAACCAGTTGAGTTTCTGTTTAACCTCCAGCAGATTGAAACACGTAGCCAGTTCAGTCATGGCTAGCTTAGTTAATCCATGCCCGAGAGCTGTGTCCAATTTCCCTGACCAAAGGAATGAAGGACCAAAAAAGGAAAGGGAACGGTAAGAAGACATTAGTTCTTCTACTTTATATAAGTACAAATATAAATAGGTTTCAATTGAGTAAGCTTCCATGTCCCTGATTGTATAAGGATTGGCTGACCAGTCTGGAATGAATTCAAACATTAGGATTGAAGACATAATATCTGCTGAATGATTTAAGCTCTTCACAAAAAGGAAGTACAGGAAGTATACTAAAACCGGCATTTTAATATAGATTGACATATTGGTATCCTTTAAGGTTAAGTAGAACTTCTATTACATGAAACTTCACTATTTGCAACTTTGCCATTTACTGCAGATAGTTTTACATTAGACAGCTTTGACATAATAAATACTAGACAAGATTCAATTTCTATCCCAGAAAAATTATTTCATTTTCTTCCCTTATCACACAAATACAGTAATTATAAGGTTTTAATTTTTGCCCTAACTCACCTAAAAAACACACGAGATTGATCATTGAGGAAACCTGGGCATATTTAGAAATATATCCCTTTGAAAGCTTCCTATAAGTTTCTTTAAAGTTTTATGACTACAAGGCCACTCTTGGAAAAGTGATGCTTGATAAAATGAGCAAGACAATGTTCGCCATTATTAATATGCCTCTATTGCAAGATTGCAGGTACTGGATTCATTTGAGTTGAAAGGGATATTAATCATCATGTTGTCACTGTCCATGCACCCCTTGAGGCTGGTAAGAAAGTTGTGGGGCCGTAGCAGTCAGCAGTGAGCCAATAAAATGACTGCATTTCTGTGCCAAAGATTTTAAAGGTTCTAAGTGGCATAAAAAATTCAAGGTTAAAAAAAATTTGAACTCTGACTAATTACAGTAACTTATTCAAAGAAGAAAAAATGTTTGCTAGTAAGTCAAAAATTATATTCACAGTACTATCTCAGTAAGTAAAAACTGGTTGTAAGTCATTTAAAGATTGTCACATGTTTGATTCCAATTATTAAATATTACATATATATTTATACCTGAAGTTAACTGAGAAATAAAAGTGTTCATCTAAATACTACCAAAAATGTTACAAGAGAACACTCAACATGAAAATTTTTGTTGCTCCTGTTTGAATACACAAAATATGTATCCTAAATAAAAAAAAGAAGAAGAAACACAATATTAAATATTTACCTTTAGGTACTATTTTCCTTTCAGGTTTCTCCTGCTTTTCAGTCTTGTCTTTGTGTATTTCTAGAAAAACATAGAATTTATACTTTAAAGACTATTTTTGAAAATATACAATATATAAACTATAACTGTGATCTAAACTTTAAAATTCCACCATGAAGTCTAAGGTATAGGTATCTAAATGGAAAAAGTCACTGTAACATGTTGCTACATAAATCACTCACTTATTGAAATAAGGGAAAAAATGAATTTACCTCAAAATTAGTGCTATTTGAAAAAGCTTAAAAACTTGCATCAATGAGGATATGTTGTCACTGTTTTCAGTGCTAAAATTGATCACAAACTATAATTATGTTTTATTTCAATTACTCTCAATACAATTAAGAATCCTTAGTAAGAATGTCATTTAGATTGAGGAAGATTTCATTTTTACATATTAAATTAAGAATTTGTGAAATGAACTGTAACTACCTAATAGGAAATATATCTCAGAAGTATTGAGTCTAAGTTATGTTTATAATCAGAATTTGGCATTGCATTTAACCCATAATTACTGCATGCAGATATGACACATTTCATGGAATAAGTCAGTCGTTACATTTTTTTCTAAATATCAGATTTTAACAAATATATTTAATTTGCTGCTAGCTTCAGTATACATACATTGCCAAGGCTTAGAAAATGAAGTTAATTCTGAATTTGCAGTTAATTTGGATGGAACTAAATTAGATATTAGAGTTTACAAATATGATTACTACCTCTGAAAAGTGACTTAGTCTTAATACCATGGTTTATCTTTGAAAAATGCTAATGAGATTTACTTATTTATTTATCACAACTTTATTTCACAGATGATCTGAGATGGTGCTAATTACTGTACACATTTTAAATTCTCCGTTTGTAAATGTGAATTTGCATTTTTGTAATTTTTCCAGAAGTCTAAAATCAAGACCAACCATAGGAAAATCCTAAGTATCTTCGGGAAAAACAATTAGTGATTTTCACCTGTTAAGGAGGTAATTATCACTGTGAAAATGTCCTCTCTTTGTTTATTCCATGAATCCATCATCACACTATATTCGGGGCCACTCCTTTACCCTTATCCCATCCCTGGCTTTGATATGGCAATGGAGATACAAAAGATTAAGATACTTTTTCTCATCCCTGGTAAAATTTCTCCAAGTTTCAAAGAAAGATCTTCAAAGACCACAGGAAACTTACATTTTCTTGTCTGTCTCACCATTTTTTTTAAAAAATCTGTTCTCTATAGGTCTCCAAATCTTACTCCCAAGTGTGTGTGTGTGTGTGTGTGTGTGTGTGTGTGTGTGTGCATGTGTGTGTGTGTGTTCTGATATCTGTTGGCCAGTTATCATCAGTCCTTTTTAAGGTGGGTAAATCATTATTTGGGGGTGGAATAGGTTATTCTGTGCAATCTATGATATTTAGCAGCAACCCTGGCTTCTCCTGTTAAATGTATGTGGTAGTTCCATCCCCTGTCATGAAAAATGAAAATGTCTTTAGACATTGAAAAATGTCTATAAAAAATGTCTTTAGACATTGCCAAATGCATTCTGTAGGGCAAAAGGAGCCCTAAAGAACGTGTTCAGATGACTCAGGACAGTATTTATTTTGATTACCTTGTGCTTTTGGTTTCTGTAGTATTTCTCTAATTATGAAAGAAGAATAGTGTTGCACTATACTGAATTATCATATAGAGGTATATGTGTAGAAAATTTTCATCTGTGTTCAGTTTGCAAAAGCAAAATAAAGTTGCATCTTATCGGCTATAGGCAATAAAACTACCATAAACCTTATTTAACACACACACAAAGAATTTATATTTTTAGAACTGTCTAAACATATGAAATAACCTACTTAATCACTGTTACTTTGGACCTGCACTGCCTGGCAATAGCCACAGGACTCATGTGGATGTTAAAGACAGGGTATGAGATTAGTCTAACATTGAGATGTGATGTAAGTGTAAGTACATCCTGGATTATGAAGATTTAGTATAAAAAATATGTACAATATCTCATTAATGATTTTATATTAATAACATATTGGGATGATATGATTTGGGGCATATTTAGTGTGATCATTTTATTTGTGTGGCAACTTGGGCAGACTACTATTCCAAGTCATTCAAATGAACACTAATCTAGGATTTGCTGTGAAGGTATTTTACAGATGTAATTAAAATCCCTAATCCTTAGACTTTAAATAAGAAGATGATTCTGGATCATGAAGTTTCCCAAGGAGGAGAAAGAAATTCTGTCTGGGGATGACAGCTTTGGTCCCTGCCTGTGGGTTCAATTTTGCCTGTGATTTTTCCTTTCCTGACTGCTGTCCTATGCTTAGCCAGTCCCCACAATCACATATGCCAATTCCTTGTGATAAATTTCTTAATATATAAATATATCTGCCTAATCTCCTACTGGTTCTGCTTTTCTGGTTGAGCCCTCACTGAGACCCTGATTAGGTTAAATAAGACATGTCATTAAAATTAATTTCATATTATTCTTTTTACATTTTAAATATGTGGCTACTTGAAAATTTTAAACTGCATATGTGGCTCACACTGTATTACTATCAGCCAGTGCTGGTTTAGTCCTAGGAGTGGGCAAACGACCTTTGAAAAACCTTAGGTCATCCACAGAGTTCAATCTTTTACAAATGAAAAAGAAAACTTGAAATTCTCCCTTGCCAGTACTATCTTGCTTCCTCCTTCCTATTCAGATCAACAGAGGCCACAAAGATTGGTGCCTTGTATAAATCAGGCCAATAAAGCAAGTAAAACGCCAAAGATTTAGAGTAGTCTGGACATGCTAAGGGAGTCACCTTTAAGAGATAATTTCTTACTCCTAGTTGGGATTGATTTGAATACAGAAATGGGATAAAATCTTCTAAATTAAAAGCTTACTTGAAATGCTACCTTCATTGTGAGAGAAGAAGGTCTTAAAGTTGTCATTTAGAATAATATTCTTCCTTTAGAGGTAAGTGCGTGTGCATGTGTGTGTGTGCATGTGTGTGTGCGTGTGCATGTTCCACAGACATCTATTGGCCACTCAGAAGAATAAAGCAGAGGTTCTGCAGCTCCCACAAAGGATCAGACTTGGGTTAGAATTTTCTGCAGGATCAAGTGCTAAAGGCCATCCTGCTTGGGCAAACCTGTCAGAGCCTCCTACCCTAATTTCATTTGGGGAAATACGCTGGACAGAGTGGTGTTTTGTGGGACTAGACAACCCATGTTCATCCATGGCTGGGTTTCCTGCAAGGCAGGTGGATGTTTGCACATAAGAAAACAGAAATAAGAAGCAGTAGCAGGACCCAACTCGGCACCCCTTAGCTCTAGCTCCTTTGTACACAGCAGTATCCCATCAAAAGGGAATGAGCTGTAGATTGTGATCAGCATTGAAATGAGCAGAAGTCCATTCTAGAGGGAAAAAAATAAAGTGAGAGAAGACAAATCTCAACAAGGTTGCGATCAAGAGCACCATTCATGAAAAGGCAGGGGGAAATCCACTGATTTCCAAATACACGGAGAGAGTTAACTCCAAGAAGGAAGGTAAATCCTGGCATGTTGGATATATTTCACTACGCATTTTCCTTAAGCAAAAATATAAATAAAATGAAACTAAAAGAGAATTAGACTGAAAAAATGGCAATATATTTCTGAGTATTTGTTTTTTACTCAACAGTAAATGGAGCAGACACAACCCAGTCCTATAACTCAGACCAATCTCAAGGATAAAGCCCTATTTTTTTTTTTTTTTTTTTTTTTTTTTTTTTTTTTTTTTTTTTTTTTTTTTTTTTTTTATTTTCCTGACTCCATCCTTCAGTCTTTTATGAGGACAGTCTCATGGCTCTGGACAGATCTACTTAGATTTCTCATAAGTGGAGGCAGGGATCATGGATTAAAATACACACACATACACAATAAGATCTTTATAGGTCACAATGAAATATGATGACTTACACAGGCATTTTCTTGTGTGCAGGACTGTCATCAACTAAATTTTTAACTCACTCGAAGACCCTTAGTATTTCTGTAGAGGCAAATGAAGACTCACACAGCTAACCTTATAAAGGCATACATAGGCCTACATTTCTCTGCTTATAGAAGACAAAAGAAACTTATTTCTTATGGTTGAGATTTAAGGATAAATTACATCTCTCTCTGCATGTTTTACTGCAACACTGAATTTTCTTTGGTGACTGCATTCTATGGCAAGTGTCAATGCCTGTGGCTATCAGATGCCTGGAGAAACCAATGAAGCCTCTGCACATGTGCCAGTTCTATCTCCTTACACTTGAGCCAGGAAATGATAACCATCCAGGCTCTTGTCCAATTGAGTAACAATGTCCTTCCAATTTAGACTTCAGAAGGATCTTTTTCTCACAAGCAAATGATGTTTGATTTGTTACTCTTAACTGCTCTTTCCAGCTAAGAACCATTTATATAAGAATGTAAAATTAAATTTTAAAGATTCAAGTCACTAAAGGTAGAACTTTATCACCCTATGGTTTTCAACAAACTTCCAAGAAAAATAAAATTCCCTGTATTATATTACAACTGGCTTTCAGTTATTTGCTAATTTCCATAGACTGGTGAATAACTCCATTTTGTGTAATATGACAATAATGTATAATCGCATAAAATTGCATTTAACATCATGACACTGTTTAGATACAGTTCACTTAGACCTGCACAAATCCTGGGTACGAGGGACAAAGAAGAAGATCAAAGCAGTTGTTATTTACCTCCAAATATATGTGTTTTCCAATTAGATTAATGCCCAGTGTCTATTAAGACATTATAATAAGTCACAGCACCAGATGCCAGTTGGAATCATAAGACATTCTGGTAACCAGTAAACCTTAAAGATTGTTTTGTGGCTGAGAAGGCACAGAAGTCAAAGTATCTCAATCCAGGTGTGAGACTGCCCACAGGCCCTTAAGGATACAAATCTATATTTGAAATCTGAGAATTGGAGAAGGGGAAAATAATATGGAAGAAGAGCAATAATTATCTCAATGTGTCAGGAGGGAAAAAGGAGTCA